TCCACCCTAAATTTGAACAAATTTGAATCTACACTACCTGAGGATGCTTCTTTAATAATATGACTAATCATGACTGTTTTTGAGCAGATTTTTTTAAAGATGATTCCTATATATTCTTATGTAAAATTTTAACCCTCTCTTGTGCCTTCAACCCCTGGGGTCATAATTTACAAACTTGATTTTACGGTTGCTTCTATATAAATATGACTAATAATGGCTTTAAGTTAGCTGTTCTTGAGAAGACGATTCTTAAAGATATTTCCTATGTAACGTGTATGATCAGATTCTTACAAGGGATATGTATAGGTTTTCCTTTTACTCTGTCTGAATTAATGATTGGAAGCTCTGTCTGAGGTTCTATCACACAGTATTTTTCTCATATGTAGATACGAGGACTGGGTAAAGTACTACTTACATCGTGTTTCTCCCCTAGGTTCCCATAGATAGATAAGACTGGGTGTCTCAATCTTCTTTAGATTAACTACACCCAGAACTTAACAACATTTCCCTAGGATACCTGCTACTGGTGCTTGTAACTTTTACACTTTTATTTTGCTCTTACCCTTAACGTCTTTATTGCTGATTCAATGGTCAACTTCTTCAGCTAGCTTCTAAATGCCTGACTTTCCCAAAGCTTTGCCTTATATACCCTTTCGCTAGTCCATTCCAAGGGTTGTCAGGTCATTCCACTATTTAAAGTCTTCAATGTATTTTACGCAAATGTCCCGTAACCATTACACCTTTATATTCCTATGTAAAACTTTTACCCACTGTTGTGGCCCCGCCCTATCCCGGGGGTTCATGATTTGAACAAACTTCAATCTGCACTACCTGGGGATAATCAGTATTATCATAGAAGTATCCTCGGGTAGTGTAGATTCAAGTTTGTTCCAATCATGACCCCTGGGGGTAGGGCAGGTCCAAAACAGGGGATAAAAGTTTACCATAGAAATATATAGGGAGTATCTTTCAAAATCTGCTTCTCAAGAAGAGCTAAGCCATTATTAGTCATATTATTATAGAAATATCCTTAGGTAGTGTAGATTCAAGTTTTATTCAAATCACGACCCCTGGGGAGTTCTTCTCAAGAACAGCAAAGCCATAATTACTCATAATTATGGTTTTTCTGTTCTCGAGAAGAAGGTTTTTTAAAGACATTCCCTATATTCCTATGTAAAACTTAGACCCCCTCTTGTGGTCCCGCCCTACCCCCGGGGGTTATGATATGAACAAATCTGAATTTAGAGTTGTGATGAAGTTTTCACATAAGTTTCATCTTTACTTGCCCAGTGGTTCTTGAGAAGATTTTTAAAAGATTCCGGCAATATTTTCTCAAATTCTTAATTATCTCCCCTTGAAAGAGGATGTGGCACTTCCTGTTAACAAAATTAAATCCCCTTTACTCGAGGATGTTTTTTGACAAGTTTGGTTGAAATTGACCCAGTCAAAAATGTGAAAAGTTTACAGACGACAGACGGACGCCGGACACTCTTTGATCAGAAAAGCTTACTTGAGCCTTCTGCTCAGATGAGCTAAAAAAGTTCGCAAACTTAGGCACTGATACTGAAATTAGATTTAAATTGAGAGTTATCTTTAGTTTACCTGACAGCTCATATTTTTAGTGGTTACTAGTATTGATTCTAAACATGCATTATAATTTCCACAAAGATTTGTTTATCGGGTGTGGCCAGGTGAACTTTTGATTGATAAGTATAGTTCAAGACGGAAATGTGTAGAAGAAAATTTTATTTTCCTTTTTACATGTGCACTCTGCCTCAATTTCATTTTGCACCAAAGCTTTGAGCAAAAAATATCTAAGCCGAGACTCGCGTTGTGGTCTCCTGATTTTTCAGTGACCTGTCCGAAACGAAACATGAGTAAAATCGTCTAAATGACATTTCAGAGATTACAAGTACTTCAACCGGAATTATATATATGAAGGTACCTCATAAAACTTCACCTTTCCCCATATGCACGCCAAATGTATGTGTAACAATGACAAAATGTTGCCCCGACTATTATCGCGATGACATAATGAAAAAAAAGGTGAAGATACGAATAGCAATCAAGTTCATCCTAAAGTAAACAATACAAAAAACGAGAACAGGGAAAAACCTGAATCTCTGGAAACACCAGAGGTAGGATCTGGTGCTTAGGAGGAGTAAGTATGCCCTATCGAGTGGCCATAACCTCTGTAAGCCCTCTGTATTAATCAGGTAAATATTAGTATGAGAATACTAGCTATATACCTAACATGTCAGTCAAATTCAATCCACCAGTAGGTTTTATTTGCAAAAAAGTCATAAAAGACGAGGAAAGACTGTTGTTTAGTGACTTTAGCAATCGTAGCCTCTAAAAGGTAAAGAGTTGCATTTCACAAAACACATAATAACATTCCAGACGAGTGTGGTCTATATACAAGGACCTTGAAGCATGCAGAGTGGGTTTGTACTCATAAAATGTAATAACATGCATCAATGGTACAAAGTAAAGCTTTTCATCTAACGAAAATCCACATGCTTAATTAAAGACGTATTGTAACAGTACAATAATTATGTCATTAATTGTCATAACTTGATGGTGTTGACTAGCAAGAACGCCGAGATTTTATTTTGTCTATAATAGCATTACACAGACACTGAACAAACAATCGTATGAATCGAGGAGGAATATATCGTAGAAAACAGGTACAAATGATACCATGGTGAGAACCTCGTAAGTTGTTCGAACTTGTATTCAAACCACTTGTATATTATTTATACAATAAAATATGTTCAAACCAAACCAAACCAAAATGATACCATAGGCTAAATTTTATAAAATCAAGTAGCATTAATATTCTGACATTCTTTCCAAAAACATATTATATGCAGAGTAAACGGATTTTGATCCACATCTCAAGAATTTAAATTTTATGAATGCAAAACAGCATGAAATTACGAGATTTTGAGAACATTTGTATACTACGTAATGTAATACGTGCTACATCTTACAAGATGAATAAAAATATCATTAAATCAGGAATGCAGTACTTAACCATTGAATATCAGATTCTCTTCATCCGGAGTGCATTAATGTTTATGTAAAGATTGAGATAATGTATGGTTGAGTAAGTACAATTTTTAGTACTGTTAACATTTAAAAGTCAAAATTCATATAATACGCTTATTTAACAAAAGATGAAATAAATATGCGAACAAATAAGTCTTTAATTCCAATTTTATTTCTCTTCAGAATTGAAAATGCTTTCATTCATCCTGTATAAAAAAACCAATTTCCTCAGAAAATTGACGTTGTAGGGAAAAAAAAATTAAACTTTAACTTGAAACTAAGCTATTCAAACCAATTTTAAATTGAAGTAGCTAAATATTAATTGAATATTGTAAATTCAATAACTTCGCAATGGAGTAAGTCACCAAACAACCAATACACTAACAAATATTTTTGCACACAATGGCGTATAATTTAGCATTTGCATGACGTTAGCATTTTGAATGAACCGTTATAAGAGATCTACGACTTATCAACCCACGCTGCACCCTCGGGGGTAGTCTAGTTACAAACTTTGATGTAATAATTTCAAAACTTCAAACTATATATTTCTTAACAGCGGGAAGGCCATCTCCTCAAATATCGGACATTATCCCTGAAATTCTTAAAATACCCAAGCCATCATCTTAAGATCCAGACAAATGAACAAGTACTTTCTGCAGCAGAGCCGATGCATAATTTTTAAAATTAGATATCATAAGCAGACAAAATCTAACGGGAAGTATAGCAGTATTGCGTAGTTAATTTTTATTAGATTAATATCTCTTTTTTATACGCCAAAAATTGGGTCAATTTTTTGTAAGGCAATTGCATGAATATTAAAAAAAACCCAAAACAACCCCCCCCCCCCGCCCCTAAAAAAACAAACTTGAATTGGAAATTTATATAGAAGTCCATATGCTGATTCTGAAACAAGCACAAATTTCTCCCTATAATATTGATTTAATTCATCCATCTAAACAAAAGAATAGAATCTAACCTAGTTTTTTGAATACCCAATCGTTCATATATGAATTTATGTTCACGTTTTTACGTGTATTTGTAGGTTAACGTGCTTTGATAAAATGATAAGAGAGCAGCATGGTAAATTGTGGGGTAAACGATTTACATACTTCTTGTAACTGTTTTGTCAAGAGAGTTTACGTAATGATGAATGACTGGAATTTTCTAATCGACTTCAAACGGAGACATATAGCAAACAAACATGTCGTATCTGGAACATTTGTACAAAGACTAGAAATAAAGAATTCAACATAAAGACAAATAACATGAAGTTCCAAGAGTTTAAAATCCATGATATAAACTTCCGCCTGTGAAAGCTGCTGAAATGTTTTATGAGCCACAGTTCAACAAAATTCGTACACATGTTTTCTGCTGAGTGGGGGGAAAAACAGGTGGTGTATTTTTTAAGTGGAAGTCTGATTCTGATAATATTAAGTGTTGTCATCATATACACTGATTGCTTCTAAACAAGAAAGAAAAATAATTGGTTTTCTAGAGAAAAATGTTTATTTCTTCCTTAAACTGAATCGCATGAAATATTAATATTATTTTGTGTATCCATTTGCCCAAGGGTTTTTATTATTTTTTTTTAATAACATTTTTGAAATTGAGAAATTTTGCAGAAAAACTAAATAAAACTATTATTTTGTAGCATAACAAAACAGAACAAATCAAAACAATACCTAAAACAAACAAACAAAGAAAAAACAAAACAATAAATAAATAAATAAATATATAAAATAAATAAATAAATAAACCCAATTATTGATTGGGTGATTTTGATCCGGTAGTGATTTACAATAACATAGGAGATTTGAACGCACAAGGACACAAATACATATATTTCGTGATGAACTTTCTTCTCAAATCTAGGATTTTTATCATCAAAATGCATCCACTTCCTTTTTGAAATATAATAAAGAGACAATTTGGATTGTATAACTTACCAGTGATACATTCCATGAAGTCTATGTGGGCTCTGTCTAATTCTGCTTTGGTATCATTGAATTTTCCATCTAATTTTGTATAGTTGCTCTTCAGACTTTTGAAGGCTTTCAGGGAGTTGTTCAGTTTCCATTGGTACAACCCCAGCTCTTCCTTTAGATTGGACTCTGACCTGACTAAATGATACAGTTGTTTTTCTACTTGTAAAAGCTTGGCATCTGTAATATTGACTTTTTCTAATGCATGGTTAAGTTGTTCAGTTTTATACTTTATTTGGCTTTTCAGCATGTATCTTTCTTGTTCCATTGAAGTCACCTTATGTTCGGCAGCGATCACCTTTTCGCTGTTTTTGAACAGTTCTTCGTGAGCTTGTGATAAAGCATTGGACGTATCATTCAGCCTGACCTCCATGTCTAATAGTTTCTTTGTCTTTGCCTGAATCTCATTTCGTAATTTAGAAAAATGGCTATGAAGAGAAGAAAGTAAGCCATGCTCGGTAGAATTAACACCTGGGAACAAATTCTCAATATTCACTGGTCTAACAGTTCCTTCTACAGAGTTAGAGGTAATAGGCATTTGATTTGTAGGTAAAGAGGATCTTAGCATTTTCTGGACGGATGCCTCCAATTCTCTTATTCTGTCTTCATGGTCAGTCTTAACGACATTGAAATCTTTTTGCATGTCTGCCGCGGAGTAAGAGTCTCTTTGTTCATTCTGAACTTGAGCAGATCTCTGTAGTGGTCCTCCACAATTGTCGTTTGATAAATAAACGTTATAAGTGCACTTTCCATCATTTAGAACGCACTGATTCGCTGATATGACAGTCACTTTTATCAGGATGAAAATCACGCTACTTAGAATTCCCATGTTACACAATAATCTTCCAACCGTAAAATATGATGAAAAATTACCGTAAAAGTAATAAAAATCCCTGAGCCAAGCTTATTTAATGTTAGGTTGGATATTTTAAAAGCAACTTATTGAATACCATCGTTTCCAAATAATCCATCAATGCCGACTTCACCGATCCTCTCATTAACACGGAGTTAGATCACATGCCGAGACGTTTTTTGCTTCTGATACGCTGGCAGCAAGTTTCTACCCCCAAACTCCCTCTCGTCTGCTCCTCAGAGTTGTGACTCTGCTACCAGTTGTACAAAAAAAAAAAAGAGAAAAATTCTCAAAAGCCCCAATCTAAACTCGGAGATGGACTGCTCCCCAGGGTATCCATTATCAAATACACAGTTATCCGATACGTCATAATTAAAGAGGTGTGTGTTCGGTCAGGTGTGTATATTTTGAAATTTTAGCTTACCTTGTAATAAATAAAGGATAAACATTTACCTGAGAGTTGCAGAATAAATGAAGGATATATGATAAACGTATATTTAAGTCGTTATATGATACTCGAGATGCATGCCATCCCTTCCACGAATGTAAAAAAAATAATGAAATCTTTGTTCGTTTGTATACTTTTGTCATTTTGATTATAGGGAATAAATTTTTGTCTGTTTTAAACATTTTGTGATGGGTCAACTTTAAACTTTTTGTCAGAAAGGACGGCATTCGATTACTGATCAAACGAAATAAAATAATGATTTTTCATAGGTTCTATATATAACTTTTATTCGATTTTATCTAAAATTTTCTTTCTGTAGAAAAAACATCATTTTCATATATAAATGATATTAGAGATCAAGATTCAAGAATCATAAATAATAATAATAATAATGAAAAATTAAAAAATAAAATAAAATAAAAAATAAATAAAAAATAAAAATTTTAAAAAGCTCAAATGTTCTTATCTGACCTGAACTCGAAAAGGGGAATCTTTTATATTCGGTTGCTGAACTAAGATTAGCAATGGTATTTTCACATAAAGACTCGAAATTCTAATTTATGATTTGTTAAGGCTTAATGCATTATATTATCTTTCAACACATGGCCACCATTTTGAAATAAAATGGTAAGGATTCTATGAAAGAACACCTGTTTACGTGCGAATGCTTTAACCTTATGCTTTAAATCGTTAGTAAAAAATGTACCCAAGAAAGAAAAAAATTCCACAGATTATGTATAAACTTGAATAAAATTAATTAAATGTAATAAACAGTTAAATTGTTGAAAACAGAAAAAAAATGTTTACTTTCGTTTTAAAAAATTGAAAAAGCCCAAACATCCACATGTTAAACCAACAGTGAAATGGTCATATGATTTTTTTTTTTAAGTGAAGCAGTATAGTAGACATCTAGTTTTTTTTTCTTTTGAAATAAAAGGCTTTTAAATTTAGATAATATATAATCAAAAATAGAGCTATATAATAATGAATTTTAAGGAACTAGGTAAGCCACAATCTCTATTCTTTAATTATACTGGGAGGAGATATGTAAAGATTAACCAACAGAAAGCTCAACACCACCTTGCTTTTCATCAAATCTTGAAATATCATAGAATTGATAATTACGTAATCCCATTCTGCTATTAATCCCGCTAATAACAATAAAAAGATTTTTATGAGGATAAGAAAATCATATCCTTTCATCCCAAACCTTGAGCGTAATTAAAACAGATGGTATATAGAAACTTTGACCCTATTGATTTCATATTGTGCGTCATTTTGACTACCAGACCCCTGGAATATATAATCATATAACCTTAATAATATATACGGGAAAATCTAAGTAATGCTTATCTTTATCTTCAGTAATGTACCTGAAATCTTATAGATCTATTTTCATATAGATTTTGCTCTACCTCAAGAGGAGAATACGTCATATCGCGAGTGTCATATTATTTTTGGAACGGTTAGAACCGACGGAGAATGATGGTGTAATTTGTGTTCAACCAATGCTTTGGTTTCAGGAATTTTCTCGAAAATGGGACAAACTGTTCAAAGAATAGCTTTACAAGATAAATGAATGATATTGCATCATTAAGACATAGTAAGAAGTGTTTGATTATAAAAACAGACACTGATTGTAACAGAAGGCGGCGGATTTAATAGTTGATTTGCCAACAATTGGTGTCATAACATATATTCGTCCCACTTGCTATTCATACACTAGAAACTTGTAAGAAAATGTTGCAGAAAAATGGTCAGATTTATTAATCATCCACGATACACCCAATTTAACTAGACACATGAAAGAAAATCTTGCAGAACAATAGCCAGAATTACACATTATGCAAGATACACCTACATGTATAACTTGCATTTGAAATTTACCTCTCAAATGAACATTTTGCAAAGAAAATATGGCACAATACACAATAGAGTCCCTTTATTTTTAAAGGGTAATTTCATTCAAAGAAGTTATTTTCTTGCTAATTATTTCAGAGCATTGCCGTGAAAGGATTTTTTCCTCTCTCGTTAATACAGTAATATTATAAATGTTAGTAAATGGCGATTTAAAAAAAAAAGAAGCTCTGAATGTTTAGTTAAAGAACATATTTTTCGAAGATGTAAATTTATATCTACTCAAAAGCATGTTATCAAAAATTTTTAAGCTTAAAAAGGCCAAATATTGACATTGATAAAAACTTTTTGTCTAATTTTTATAGTAAGAAAAGATATTTCCATTACATTAAAGAACTAACTGTTTATTTTTTGCGCCTCGCTGCATATCATCAAAGCTTTAAATGATATTGTGTATTGTATACTTACACTATCCAACATTCTTTTAACAGTATAAAGATAATATATGAGGATAAAAGAATATTTTAATGAAACAGGTTATCTTCATATTTAAAATCTTGGGAATTGTTAAATCAGTTTAGAAATTTTCTTATTACATCTAAGGTTTTCATACCTAAACTAAAGATGTATTTGAACGTCTTATCGGAAATCTCACCAGCTGATTATTAAGAACCAATAACAAGGTCACTGAAGAAATCAAACTTGTTCTGGTTGTTTAAAAAAATAAATAGTATTTCATCATTTGTGTATATTTCTCATAAAAAAAGGACTCCACTTACTTACACATATCAAAGTAATTAGAATTGAAAACTATTAATGACGTTCAAGGATGGCGTATTTTATTACATTTTCAACAGTGAAATACTGTGATTTATTTATTGAATAAAAGTGATATTCTCTCACAGTGTGAAAGGATACCAAAATGATAGTCTCACAGTGTGAAAGGGTATCAAATTAAGTAAAAAATAATTTCTGGCCTGTCATAAGATAGAGATAGTAACTAAGCATGTTGATAGAGCTAAAACTGCAAATTTCTTCCCAAATATATTGCTAAAATCCATGCTATGTAATGTTTTCAATAACACAACTGCTAAGCTATGACGTCTCAACCGCTCAACTATGACGTCAAGCCTATGACACTGTGTTAAGAAAAGACAGAGGCAAAGGAAAAATCAAAGAAAATGTAATAAACAGAAAATTCAATGTTTTGTAGATGAATATGAAATTTATTTCACTCGTTAAACAGGATTTTTTTTATACTTTCACTCGTGCTTCGCACTCGTGAAAATATAAAAAAAATTCTGTCCCACTCGTGAAATAAATTCCATATTCATCTACAAAACATTGAATATCCTCTATGTATTTATTCCCTGTTTTTTTTTAGTCGTCCATAAATTTTAGGATAAGGAGTACGTACATGTATTACTTTAAAAATGTGGATTGTTAGTTTTTTGAAATGATTTCATTTTAATACAATCCTCAGTAGAAATTAATGGAACTCAAATAAACAACCATGATTTTAGATTACCTTGATAGAAATTAATTAATTAATCAGAAATTATTTCAGATATATTTGTGCTCACAACAATTTAAGCGTAATGATTTTGATGAATAATATAATAATTTTGCATTTGATATTTTTTTTTTTTTTTTATATATTTCTATATTTTTACATTGCAAAATAAATATACAAGAAATAATACAAAGCATACGAGTACATTCTTCGTTTATTTATAATATTGGGACTTGATAGTCTAAACCATATCATTCCATGTATATTCCCTCTCTTTCTCGTGAAGAGTTATCCCTCCTCGAAAATAATACTTTCAATGGCCATGGAAGACAATATGATTAAATAGGTCGAAAAATAGTAACATCAACTCCAATTTTCAAATATTTGATCCTAAGAAAGAAATACGAGAAATTAAGCATAGCGTTTCATAGACTTTTGTACTTTTTTAGCTCACCTGAGCCAAAGGCTCAAGTGAGCTTTTCTGATCAAAATTTGTCCGTTGTCTGTCGTCGTTGTTGTCGTTGGCGTTGTCGTTGCCGTTGTTGTAAACTTTTCACATTTTCATCTTCTTCTCAAGAACCATTGGGCCAAATTCAACCAAACTTGCCACAAAGCATCCTTGGGTAAAGGGGATTCACGTTTGTTCAAATGAAGGGCCACGCCCTCTTTCAAGGGGAGATAATTAGGAATTAGTGAAAAAATAATGGCATCATTTAAAAATCTTCTTCTCAAGAACCACTGGGCCAGGAAAGATGAAACTTATGTGGAAACATCCTCAGGTATTGTAGATTCAAGTTTGTTCAAATCATGACCCCCGGGGGTAGGGTGGGGCCACAATGGGGAATACAAGTTTTACATTGAAATATATAGGAAAATATCTTTAAAAATCTTCTTCTTAAGAACAGCAAAGCCATGATTGGTCATATTTTTATGGAAGCATCCTCAGGTAGTGTAAATTCAAGTTTGTTCAAATTATGACCCCCGGGGTAAGGGTGGGGCCACAATGGGGGATCCAAGTTTTACATAGAAATATATAGGAAAATATCTTTAAAAATCTTCTTCTTAAGAACAGTAAAGCCAAGATTGGTCATATTTATATGGAAGCATCCTCAGGTAGTGTAGATTCAAGTTTGTTCAAATCATTACCCCCGGGGGTAGGGTGGGGCCATAATGGGTGATCCAATTTTTACATAGAAATATATAGGAAAATATCTTTAAAAATCTTCTTCTTAAGAACAGTAAAGCCATGATTGGTCATATTTATATGGAAGCATCCTCAGGTAGTGAAGATTCAAATTTGTTCAAATCATAACCCCCGGGGGTAGGGTGGGGCCACAATGAGGGATCCAAGTTTTACATAGAAATATATAGGAAAATATCTCTAAAATCTTCTTCTTAAGAACAGTAAAGCCATGATTGGTCATATTTATATGGAAGCATCCTCAGGTACTGAAGATTCAAATTTGTTCAA